ACCCCTCCGTGCTGCTGCCTCTGATACAGGGGCAGCAGGGCGCACTCCATGAAGCTGGTACCTGGGGTGGGTGGTGGCTTAAAAGCCCCTGCCTGCCTTCCTGCTGTCTCTGTGGGCAGGCAGTTCTGCTGAACTGGTGCGCATAGAGACCCAGCTTAAAAGATGGCTTCCTGAGCGTATCGGCTCCCACCTGCCCTTTCCCCCATGCTGCTGCCTCTGTTAGAGATGCAGCACCACGGGGAAGTCGATATGTGTGGGGAGCCATCTTTCCAGCCAGCTCCTGCCACTTTCCTGCCTCTGATACAGAGTCAGCAAGGAAGGCTGTGTGTGTATAGGCCAGGGGTGGCCAACCTATTTAACAAAGAGAGACGAAACAGCGGCGGAAAAAATGTGACGAGCCGCACCAGAATTGTCAAGCAAAAAGAAAAAAAAAAGGAAGATGCCCCTTTAAGAAACAAGTTTAGGACATATCAGGCTCCTGTCGATGGCTCCCATCTTGGGCACCATTTTGAATGCCACCCCAGTGAGCACAGGGGAGCCGGATTTTCGGAGAGGGCTGAGAGCCGTTTGGGGGGGACGCAGGAGTGGCTTCATGAGCTGCAATTTTGGGGGAGAAGAACTGCATGCGGCTCGTGAGCCACGGGTTGGCCACCCCTGGTATAGATATTTGGATTAATCGGTAAATCCAGACTCATCAGTTAATCATTTGAACGATTATATGTTAACATACCTAGTATAGATCTGTGTTACTAATGAGGGCCATGCTAAGTGAGGGTCATTAGTATACATGAATTTCTTTAATCTGGCAATAATGGGAAATGGCATACTGGATTAAAGATTTTGCTCTGGAGGGCACTGCAATGTCTGAGCATGAGCGGGTGGGGCACTTATCTGCCACCTCACTCCTAGGGACGCACGTGACTCCACACTCCCTGCTGCTCCCAGACACTGCCTCAGAGGAAGCAGTTCTGCATGCTGACATTCCCCCAGCTTGGGGGGTGAGAGTGGAAAGTTGCAGACCTGCTTCCTCTATACTACAGGGCTGTGTCTACATTGGCGCGATCTTACACCAAAGTGTCCGCTTTTGCGCAAAAACATGCTGCCTGTCTACACTGGCGGGGAGTTCTTGCGCAAGAACACTGATGTTCTAATGTGTGAAATCAGTGCTTCTTGCACTAGAACTATGATGCTTCTGCTCAGGAATAAGCCCTCTTGCACAACTGTTCTTGCGCAAGAGGCCAGTGTAGACAGGCAATATGAATTTCTTGCGCAAGAAAGCCAGATGGCTAAAATGGCCATCGGAGCTTTCTTGCGCAAGAGAGCATCTACATTGGCACGGATGCTCTTGCACAAAAGCACATCTCTTGCGCAAAGGCACATGCCAGTGTAGACGCTCTCTTGCGCAAATACTTTAACGTAAGAACTCTTGCGTTAAATAGTATTTGCGCAAGATCATGCCAATGTAGACGTAGCCCAGGTGTTCCGGATTAGGGGCACCCAGAGTACATAGGTTCTAGTGTAGTATTCGAGGAACTTAGTAGCCTAATACTCAGGAAAATATGTGAATAGACTTGATTTTCTGTAATCCTAGATAGCAGCTAAAGTTGATCATACCACTGACCATATCAACCGATTCTGGGACCCATCTTGGATGCTGTACTTTTCCACTGAAATTGAGAAAAATGTTTAAAATGAACACAAAGAATTCCCACCTTATGCAAATCTATTTAAGGGTAGAGAGTGAGGTAAATCAAGTAGTCAGTTCTTCCTGGCTACCCTACCACCAAGATGACTACTGAAAACATTCAAGAGTATGTCTACATTTGCTCAATAAAACTTTTATATTTCACAAGTGCTTAATCCCTCCTCCGGGTGAATGATAAAGATTTCCCATAAGTGCACGTGTGAACACTGCTTTATCAGCAGGCGCACTCTCCTGCCAATATAGCTCGTTGGGGAAATTCTTTGCCAGCAAAAGTGCCAATGAACAGCATATTCACATGCTGACGACCCATCACATACTTCATAAAATCATTGTTGTTTATTGATAAACCCAGTGTGAGTAACTGTTACTTAAGAGTACCTGCATATATCTCTCTTTACCCCAAGAAAGAGGGCACACATGGGCTTACCTTGTATAAAACTTTATACAGAGTTAGGATTTTTCTACACTGCCTGTAATACACTGATATAGAGGCAGCAGCATGAGATAGCAGGGGGCTCCCCAGGAGTCTGCCGACCCTACCCTCTGGGGAAAGCATTTTAGTAACCATGTAACTGCTAAAAATTGTTGTGGCTACACAATTACTAAAATAACCAATATCTAACATTCCTAATTTATACTTCATAGTCTCCTCTTGATATGAAAAGATGATATATTCATACAGGTGGGTAAATCATATTCAGTAGATTACAGCTTTTCCGGTGATACCTTAACATGAGGTATTTTGCATAAAGCATATTCCAGTTATGTCATATCTATAAGCATATTTTCATAAAGCATATGGAATGTCCAGTCACAATAATCTCTAGTAGCAATGTTTTTGAGGTCCAAATTCTGCTCTCAGGTACATCTCTGCAACTCCAATATTGTTATTTGAGTTGCACAGGTTCAACAGAAAGCAAAACTTGGTCTGCCAGTTTGAACTTACTTGACAGTTATGATTTGCTGAGCCAGAGAAGATTCAAGTTCACTGTCCTATTACTTTTTTGACTCTGTTGTGTCAGTTGGAGTAGGAAAAGTAGCAACAACTTATTTTAGTCAATAAAGTAAATAAGTATAAATTAGTGCACCCAGGAAGATCATCTCTTCAGTAAGATGGTGCTGTTTTTATGCAGTCACGCTTCTGACCACATCATTATTTCAACTCTGAAGAGCATAGGAGCATTGAAAACTACACACAATTAAGTAAGGAGAACGAGCCAGAGGAAAATTTTGAAATGGAGAAATAATTCTTATTTGGTTAACAGAAATCTGAAATGATATGTTATGGTCTTACAATTCTGTCAAGGATGTGTCAATGTATTCTTACTCTTTATTTACTTATAATAATTAACAAAGGAGAGAGACAGACAGACAGACCTGAGAATGGAAAAAGATAACTAGTGGTGCGCCCCAAGGCTCCATCCTGGGACCAATCCTATTTACAAATGATCTGGGCTAACTGTGAGGTGGCAAAATTTGCAGATGATGCTAAACTGCTCAAGATAGGACCAAAGAGGACTGTGAAGAGCTTCAAAAGAATTTCACAAAACTAGATATTTGTGCAACAAAATGGCAACTGAAATTTATTGTAGATAAATGCAAAGTAATGCACATTGAAAAAAATAATCTGAACTATACATACAATGTGATGAGGACTAATTTAGCTATAACCACTGGAGAGAGATTTTGGAGTTGTGGATAGTTCTCTGAAAACATATACTCATTGTGCAGGGGCAGTCATAAAAGCAAGCAAAGTGTTAGGAATCATGAAAAAAGGGATAGAGAGTAAGACCAGGTACATCTACACTTGCTCCCTAGTTTGAGCTAGAGATGCAAATGTAGCCGACCAAAATTGCTAATGAAGTGGGGATTTAAATATCCCATGCTTCATTAGCATAATCTTGCCCACACATTATTCCGCTCAACAGCTGATTCAAACCAGGAAGTGCGCTCCTCATTTAGAGGAGTAACGTTAGTTCGGGCCAAGGGGTTTGATTCGAACAAACACAGCTGGGAGCGCACTTCTGGGTTCGAATCAGCAGTTGAGTGGAATAACGTATAGGCAAGTTGATGCTAATGAAACATGGGATATTTAAATCCCCACTTCATTAGCAATTTCGGTCGGCTACATTTGCACCCCTAGCTCAAACTAGGAAGCAAGTGTAGACGTACCCACAGAGAATATCTTATTGCCTCTATATAAATCCATGGTATGCTCACATCTTGAATGCTATGTACCAATGTGGTCACCTCATCTAAAAAAGATATATTGACTTTGAAAAAAGTACAGAAAAGGGCAACAAAAATGATCAGGAGTCTGGAGCGGGTGCTATATGAGGAGAGATCAAAAAGACTAGAACTTTTCAGCTTAGAAAAGAGGAGACTCAGGGGAGATATGATAGAGGTCTATAAAATGATGACAAGTGAATAAGGAAAAGTTATTTGCTTGTTCTGTAACTAACAAAAACTCAGAGTCACCAAATGAAATTAAGAGATAGCAGGTTTAAAACAAAATTAAGTTTTTCTTCACGTTGCACACAGTCAGCTTGTGGAACTCTTTGTCAGAGGATGTTGTGAAGACCAGGACTTTAACAGGGTTAAAAAAAAACTAGATAAAATCATGGAGGTTAGGTCCATCAATACTTATTAGCCAGAATGGGTAGGAATGGCGTCCCTAGCCTCTGTTTGTTAGGGGGCTTGGAAATGGATGATAGGAAAGGGATCACTTGATGATTACCTGTTTCTGTTCATTCTCTCTGGAACATCTGGTATTGACCACTGTTGGAAAACAGGGTACTAGGCTAGATGGACCTTTGGTCTGACCCAGTATGGCTGATCTTATGTTCCTAAGTTCCTGCTCTGTTGCAGAGTTCCTGTGTGATCTTGGGAAAAGTCATTTAACCTTCCCATGCCTCGGTGTCCCCATTGGTAAAATGGGGAAAAAAGTTCCTAGATGGTATACATGAAATCTGATCTAATTATATCCCAGTCTTTTCCTGTTTTCTTGCTCCTTCAACAGTAACTAATGTAGCATCAGTTCCATTAGTGGGTATCTCCAGCTCTTGGAGTCTGGGTAATCAATTTCATTTAGTCTGGAGGGGATGTTTTTGGTAGTTGTGTTTGCTGGTACTCTTCTCCTTCCCTTTAATACCACCCCTTCATTGGCTTTCCAAATGTGTTCTGACTGTTTTTCAGATCAGCATATTTGTTATTGAAACGATTGATTTAGAAATGCTATTAAATGGTAATGATATTGCAGGAGTTAATTGTTTCCTTATATGCAACATTTTATTAGGAAAATCATTTATCTACTCCAATGGTCTTATGGATCACGTATTTGTCTGTGACAATGGGAACAGCAAAGCCTGGTATACGAAACCTGGTCATTTCAGAGGGATGTGGGTAAGGAAGTTATATTTTTAAGACCAAATATATTCAGAATGTGTTAAAAATAAATATTGCCAATTAAATATTTTATGGAGTGCATGTACTATCCCGGGTTGTTTGAGAGGGATTACATATTGCAAGACAATATCACCAGGAGTGTGCAAGGTTTGCACAAATTTGATATGCAAATATTACAGTAAAACTCCATTAGTCTGGCATTCAGTGCTCCAGGACTCCTGATGGTCCGGCACCATCAGGAACCCGGAAGTGCTGGGGCAGCTGGACAGGCTTCCCCCATTCAGCTGCTGATGAAACTGACCAGCAGCTGAATCGGGGAAGCTGGGAGCAGAGCAGCTGGGGTGCTGCCGGGTTGGTCTCGTAGC